GCTAAGATGTCAAAGTCAGCATTAACATTCCAAAAGTTCTCTACCAGCTCCAAAAGTTAAGTCTGGAAATATCTATACTACAATATCAGCACCTGAAAACACCTGTAACAAAAGAATTCCTTCAGAAATAACACTTTCCAAAGCTAAAGGTAGTCTTCATATCAATTACAAACTTGCAGAAGAACAAACTTTCATTCTAAGAATAAAGGAGATCCCAAACAAAACTGAATATTGGAAAATCTTACAAAGGAATAGTCTTAACAAGATATTATTGGATTGCTATTACAGAGGTTCAACTTTGTCGACAAAGTCAACCTCATCAGGGAAATCTACTCAAGGAAAATAGTCAGGAAAGTGAGGAAATAGGAAACATATTAATTAGTTCAAGATGAGAGTTTCATTTTAAGTCTCTGGCTCCAAGGAACAATATTATTCAAAAGCTTGTACTAAGAGTTTTCTGTGGTGGCATATATAAATTGGAAAGGAGGCATCTCAATTCAAATCACAGATACAGTGTTACACAGTTTCCAAATTCCTTAACTGGCATTTACTTTATCTAAGAATGGGTAAATTTATTCCAGATATTATTTTTTCTTTTAACAAGGCAGGTATAAATATACCTGTATATTTATAGAGTATAAATATACCTGTATAATATAGAGTATAAATATACCTGTATAATATAGAATATAAATATACCTGTATAACATAATATACAATATAATATGTATAATATAATATAAAGTATAAATATACCTGTATAATATAGAGTATAGTATATACTCTACATTATATACATTTAAAATTCTGAAATTATTTAGTTTTTGTTTCTAGTATACAATAGTACTAAAGATTGGCCTAAAACCAAAAAAGCTGAGGGTATTAAAAAAAAATTTGTTACTATAAAATGACACCAAAATTTCAAATTTCAAATCTTAATTCTGTAATAACAGAGAAACATTACATCAGTATCAATATCAAAACATACATACTATTAAAACAATTTACAGTGAGGTTTTCATTTTCCTCTACTTCTGGTAAGACTCAGTTGTCATGCTATGACGAAGCTCCTCAGTTGCCAGTATGTTTCAATAATCCTCCCCCCCCCCCCCCCCAAAAGTTAATGGCCCATTAAATAACTAAACAAAATGTTCAGAATGAAGCCATAATTCTAATCTAAATATAGTTATAAAATGAAAACCCAAGATTCTAAACATAATTTAACATCCATAAAAGTTGTGTTCATCTGAGTATACCTTGTTCTTGAACTCCTTGAACTATTACAAGAATCAAGACTATAAAAAACTCATTTCACATAGTTAAAGTATTTTAGAAAAAAATTCAAAACAAATGAAATGTCATTCAACAGGTTAATTCACATATCCAAAAAAAACAGAAATTCGAAACTCTGAGAGGAAATAGTCATAATTTGAGCTAAAATTAGTGATTTAGAAGAATCTGGGAGAAAAGATCAGTGTCTGTACATTTCATGGGCTAGAAACAGTTTATATTCAATACATATACACTCACACATACACATGTATATTTCCCCCCATTCATATAATTTTCAAGTGAACCTTCTGAAGATTAGAACAATGGTTAGAGACTTCAATGACAGAGTACCCTCATGGTACAGAGAAGAAAAGCAAAAGAATGAAAAATATGAAGGCATTACCTTTCTACCTCACATGTAATTATTTTCAGTACACAAATAGACAAAATTATGAGGTTTTAAAAAATAGGAACATTGGCTATTCAATATCACATACACACACACCCACATATATTTATGTACATGCATGTGTATTTTCCTCATCCACATAATTTTTAAGTAACCCATTCAGAGGCTCAGAAAAATGGTTAGATACTCCAATGGAAAAGTACCCTCATGGTACAGAGAAGAAAAACAAACAAATGAAGACTATAAAGGTATACCCACATATGGTACATTCTATACATTATGCCAATAGGGCCCTGTACAAAATTATGAGATTATTCTTGAAACAAATATTTCATAAACCATGTGAATCAGGAAAGAAATGTTGATCATCCACATTATCTAATGTTGGATGATACACAATTCTGTATGTTAATTTCTTGTATGCTTGGAAACAAAACATCAGATAAAAATGCATTTTTTAAAAACCAAATTAATAATTTAGTTCTCTTGTAAGAACTTCCTTTCAGAACATAAGATGTAATTAAACAACTTTTATTTTTTAAACATGTATTTTATCATTAAACAAATGACTTGAAAGTAAAATGGGATTTTTTTTGGTTTTCAGGATCCCACATCTTCTTCCATTCATATTAACACATACAAATTGTTTTAAGTTATGTTACAACAGTTTTATCTCCTAATTAGTTACAATTCCTGACACAAAATGAGTGCTTCTACCCTTAATTGCATCACGTATCCAAAAGAAAACTTAGTGGAGATTTAAATACAAATAAGTATACTAGATTTTTGTGAAGACATTCAAGTCAGTCATACCAACAGCAATCATAAAGTTTAAATCTTCCTCAGAGAGAAAACTATAATTTGAAATTCATATTTCAATTTTATTTGTGATGAAAAAATCTGCAAATAATGACTGACAACATTTTCATGTTTCAAAAGGACTTGTATTCTCTAATTCAAGAAGTATCAGGGGAAGGAATAATATGGTGAAAATATGTAGGTCTGCAATCTTAATATTTTCTTTCTTACATGAAAAATGAACTAAATTTAAATCAGTTAAAATGTTACATTCACACATCTGAAATGATATGCAAAGTTCATATCCTTTATTTCAAGTCTTTGAAACTAATAAGTTCTACAGATCATCCAAGGAATGTAAGTTGAAAAGGTCATTTCCAGGAAATTAACAGTTTTAACATTCATAAACAACGCTATATAGTAGGCAGTAAGGTGCTCACCAAAATAACATTAATATTTACTATTTTATTATTTGACAGCACTTTCATAAGCATAATTATACTGGGTGGGGAAGGCTTTGTGGCCAACAAGCTATGACCTGTGTGACAGTAATACCCTACAAGAATGAATTGAAACGTTTTCAAAGGATGTGATGGTCATTCTAGAGACTTAAACAGAACCAGTAACACAAGAGTAGATTGTCTATGGAAATAAACACACTAAAGTCCGACAACTGGTAAACAAAGGTCCCTATGGCAACCAAAGGGTTGAGACAAACCGAGGACACAAAAGAGATGAAACTCTTGATTCCGATTTTATACCCTCACTTCATCTTTTAAGAAGTTAATACGAGATACGGTGTTTCTCAACCTGAAATGCAGTGTTTCGACCCCCCCTCCCCTCCAGGCCGTCTACCACCAAAGCTGTTTCTTCCTCCTTCCCTCTCCGCTCGCCGAACAGATTAGCATTTGTACTAAGGTACCTCCTATCACCGCGCGGCTCCTTCCCAAACACACGCCCACGTTCACAGAAACTGGCCTTGCCTGCACCGAACCTACGGTGCCTACAGAAAAGGGGGTTCAACCAGAGGGTAGAAGGAGGCTGCTCTGCCAGCAGCATCACTGCTTCTCCTTCCACACCCCGGCTCAGCCCTCCCTCCCCAGGGGGTCCGACCCAGCCACTCCACTACGACGGAATGTGGGACGGCTCCCTTTGCCCACTCGGGCTGAGATGAGTCAGGAACCTTCTCTTCCTACAAGTGCCCCGCTCGGGTGTTAATTAAGAGGCTCGGCAGGGAGGAGCGTGCCCACCCCCATCCCTCCGACCTCTACCGGTGCAGAGATTCGGGCTGACCGCCCGCCTCCGGGGCTGCGGGGTGCACACGAGCGATCCGGGGCTGGGCGCAGCCGGGCAACAGGTCAGACGGAGCGCGAGTGGGAGGACTGGGACAGAGACCCACTTTCGAGCAGGTCACGGCCCCCGGGGGGGGAGGCGGCGAAGGGTCTGGCGAGGGGGGCGTGGTCCGGCTGCCCGGACACTCCCTCCCCCCTCGGCACACCTGCACGGCGGTGGTGGCCACCCCGGGGGAGGAGGAGGAGGAGAAGCGTCCAGGTCACTCCCTAGACAATGCTCCGGCGGCTGGGGGAGGGGGACGGCGGCGACAGCCTGCGGAGGGGAGCGGGGAGGGGGCACTGAGGAGGGGGCCCCGCTCGCTCCGCCCCCCCACGCCGCAGCCCTCTCCTTCCTGAGCGCGGCTTCTCCGCGCCGAGGCCGCGCCTGGGCCCCGCAGATAAACAGCCGGCGGCGGCTGCGGCTGCGGCGGCGTCTGCCCCCGGGTAGAAGGGGCAGAGGAGCCGCCGCCGCCATTCCCTCGGAGCGGCCCGCTCCCGCTCCCGCTCCCACTCCCACTCCCACAGGCGGCTCGGCGGACACTAACCTGTGCGGCCGCAGCCGCCGCCTCAGCGGGTGGACCACGACGCCGGCCCGGGGGCGGCTGCCGCTCCTGCCGCCGCTGCCGCTCCTCCCGCTCCGCCGCCGCCGCCGCCGCCTCCTCCCGGGGTAGCGTTCCCCGACCGTCGCCGGCGCGATCTCTCATTCAGTTCCAGCAGCCGCCGCTGCCGCCGCCGCCGCCTCCGCCGCCGCTCGGGGGAGGGGAGTGTGCAGGATCCACCCCGGACGCTCTAGGGGGTGGGAGGAGGGGGAGGGTGCGCGCGAGCGAGGGACCGAATGTGCGAGCGTGGGAGTGCGCGGTGGGGGGCGGGAGGCGGAGGGAGGAGGCCGAAGCCCGCGGCGGGCGGGGGCGCGCCCCGGGGCACGTTCGCGCGCGCGCGCTGACACCAACTGAGCCCTTTCGGGCTTGCGGAGGAGGGAGGGAGTGCGTGCCGCCGGGCGGAGGCGGTGGCTCCCTCGTGCCTCCCCAACCAACCCACCCACCCCCCACCCCACTTGCGAGCCTCCTGCGGACGAGTCCAACTGCAGGCAGGGTAGCTGTTGCGCGTGACTCGAGGCGGGAGCAGCCACAACTACCTGCAAAGTCCGCCCCCACTGCAATAAAAGAGGAGAGGTGGGGTCCATTACCCACCAGGATGGGGAGACGCTCAGGTTCCACGGTGGGAGCAGCCGGGGTGTGGTGGGCGCTGCAGAGGCGGGAGGTTGAACCGGCGTGCCATTGCCATCCTCCCTAACTACCTGATCTCCGTGCAATCAAGGCGGGCAGGATCCCACCCACCCCACGATTCAGCCCTCCTCCGAGACCCGTGCAAAACACGTCCCGTTGCAGCGCGGGTTCTAAGGACTACTCAGTTCGTGCTTAGGGGCTCCCCGCGGCTGCCCCATAAGTCCTAGTCGTCGGTGATGCATCGGACTGCACTTAGGACTTCGGGATGGAGGGGGCGGTAATGGGAGGGGAGAAATGGAGGAATGAAGAGCCAGGCCTGCTTGGGCACTCTGCAAGATAATTCGCTTTAATGAGTATGTGAGAAAGATATGTGGTCTCCCCCCCCGTTCTGAGTCTCGGTATAATGATTTCCAGGTGAATAAGATTTACACATCATTGTAGGAGCGTGTCCCTGAATGTGGGGGTAATAAAATTACACTGGTTAATGGGCTTTTCTCTAGAGCTAGAAAGAAAATGAAGTTGTTCTAAAATGTGGACGGGTTTGATTTTTAAAAGTTGCAGTTTGTGGAGTGCCCTGATTAAAATCGGCTCCACTTTAATGCAGTGTGGTGGTAAATAGATGTTTTAAATGAGCTACCTTATATTTGCTATAATTTAGACCATTTGGAAATGGATAATTACTAGAGGAACCACATGTTTTTCTTCTGTGCTGCACATCTACCATAAAACATGGAAAGAATTCAGTGTACCATCACTGTATAAAAATAGAAATTGACCAGAAATGGAGCTTCCAATTATTTTCTGTAGCTCCATAATAAACATTAAGTAGAAGGAGACTAGCTTGTATTTTTCCCAGTACCTGCCTAGTGCCATAACGCTTCATTCTAACAGGCAAAGCACGGATGTCCTTCATCCCAGGGTCTAAATGATAGATGCTTCTGCCAAAGGCTCCCAAGAAAAAGCCAGGCCAAAGGGGACACACCTCAAAGAGGGAAAGGAAAGACAGTTAAGAAAGAAAAAGGCCTTCAAAGAAATTTATGGGAAAGGGGTAGAAAATAAAAACAGCGGGAGACAAAGGTCAGACAAAAAGTTATAAATAAAAAATTAAAGAAAAAAATGACATACAGGTATAAGGAAAGATATATATGATACCATGTACCTATACATGTAAATTGCTTCAAAGAAAAAAAACTTGCAGCTTAAATTAGAACTTTAGAAAAAAGAAAGCCCCCTTCCTAGTTATGAGTTTGAAAGCACTGAGTAAATGTTTAGACATGTGTGAATGTTAGTATAGAAATAAGAAAAAGGTGGCTGGCTTTGTGCAAACCACAATACACCTCTAATTATTACAAATAATTAACTGTTATTGATTAGGCAATAAGAAAAGTAGGAAAAAATTGTTAATGCTGATGTGTAAACACCTATAACTAACTTAAACTTGAATTTGGCTTTCATAGAGGTAGAAATGATCCTGTGTTCTTTCATCCATCAGTAATTTTCAGAGTTTAGGATAAAGCCAATGAAGTTTTCAAATGGGCTTGGATGAAAGGCTTTGTGGTTCATGGAGCTAAGGAAACAGTGGTTTAGGATGGCAGGGCTCTGTCTATTCATTCTTGACTCTAGCTGATTATCTGAATCTGGGTGAGTCATTCAAATTCTTTGTTTCTCAATGAGATAAGCTCTAAAATGAGATTTAATTCTGTTAACCTGCATAGTAAGCAATCAGTAAATATTTATTGAATTGGATCTACAGTTTGGTAAAGTAAATAATATGTGAAATGATTATTAAAAAGGTTCTTATTTAATTTCCTTTCATGACTTTTAATTTTTGTGTGACAGTTACCTTGGTATTTAGTTGTCTTGATACATTTCTGTTCCTTTTAATCCATTGACCAGAAAATGCTAAATAATGGCTATTTACATTTAAAAAAAAAGACTTTTAAGTGTGCCTGCTATTTTTTAAATTAGAGCATTTCGTCTTTTTAAACTCTGTAGGTAGCATTATGTATTCCATTTCCTTATGTCATCATGCAGAAAAAAGGTATATGAAGTCCTAATGTATAAAATACAAATGCCTTTCCGAAAAATAAAAATCAGTAGGAATACATTACAACTAAAAGTAGTTCCAGGGTCATCACCATATTTCTAAAGATTATGTAGTGTTTGTGTTACCATCATTCAAAATTGTTTCAGTAGGTAAGCCAAGGAACTCACTTAGATATGGAACAGATAATTGTGGAGATAAGAGACCACTACCAGCAAAAAGAAAACAAATTGACCAGAATTGAGTCTACTAGTTAATTTCTATAGCTCCATATACTAAAGAGTAGAATTGGTCAGTTTCATCTTGTTATAGTTGTTAAGGAAAACTAGACAATAAAACTTATTACTATAGTAATAGACCCTTGCAAACAGTAGAATTATGGAAATAGACATGACATTTATTCAGTAAATTTTAACAATTTTTTTTCACTTCAATAGCATTAAAATCAGGATCATCAAGAAATATGGTGGACCATTTAAGTTAATTTTCCAAGTACCTGGTCACTTGAAAGTGACAAAATTTATTTTAATTTCTTTTGATGGAAATTTATCTAAAATATTACGTATTTTCCTACTTTCTTGTATAGAGTATTCCAAAACAATTGAACCTTTTCTTGAGGATGTTATTCAAGTCAGCAAGCATTAAGCATCTGATTTGTTCAGTGTTCAATACTAGACCATAGGAATCCTGAAGACAAAAAATGAAAATAGTCTGTGCCCTCAGTTTGTATTGTACTGGGCAGAAACGATATGTACTCAAATAAATTAAGTACAAGAACAACCAAAAAAGAAAAAAAAACACTAACAACTAGGGGAATAAGAGAAGCCTTCTCTAAGGCAATGGCCCCTTGAGACTTGAAGAGTAGACAATGATTCTAAGAGACAGAAATGAGGAGGAAAGACATTTCCAAGCTACTTGAAAGAAACTACTTGTGCAAATGCATGAAGGCAGGAGATGAGGTATAAAGTTAGAGAAATGTCTACTAGTCCAATTTGGTTGAAATGCAGTTTGGTATGAAGCAGTTTGGTATGAAAATAATCTGAAAGATTACCTTTTAGAGTTTATTTCTAATTCATGTCAGAGATAGATTATGGAGGGCTCTAAATGCCAGGGTAAAGAGTTTGTATTTCATCCTAGAGGCAATGGAGTACCAATGAAGGCTTTTAAGCAAAGGAGAGATGCATTCAGATTTTTGCTTTAGGAAAATCATTTGGCTTCTGTTTGAAAGATGTTTATCCGAGGAAAGAAACTGGAAGGAAGGAATCCAATTTGGAGGCTATTGGAACAGTAAGGTTAAAAAAAAAAATGAGGGCCTGAAGCTGTGGCTATTGGGTAGAAAGGAAGAAACAGACATGTGAGAGATGTTGTGGAGGTAAAATTGGTAAGACTTGGAAACTACTTGGATGTGGATAGTGAAGGAAAAGTCAAGGTTGATGCCAGTGTTGAAAACTTCAGTGATGAGAAGAGTGTATTCTCAACAGAGAAAGGAAAGTTGGGAAAGCAGCAAGATGAGTTCCATTTTGGACATGCTGAATTTGAGCTCCATACAGGGAGGAGACCTCCAGCATGCAGTTTAATGATGTTTGAGTAGAGTTCAAGAGCAGGGCCAGGACTGTGTACATAACTCTGGGAGTCATCTGAATAGAAATAATACTTGAATCCATGGGATGTGTTGAGCTTTCCCAGAGAGAGAAGTGGGTCCAAAACCAAATCTTGGGAAATACCCACCTTAAGGAAGCTGGAAAAGGAATGGTGGTCAGTCAGGGAGCAGTTAGGTAGCACAGTGGTTAGAGCACTGACCCTGGAGTCAGGAGGACCTGAGTTCAAATCCAGCCTCAGTCCTTTACACTTACTAGCTGTGTGACCCTGGCAAGTCACTTAACCCCATTCCTAGCCAAAAAAAAAAAAAAAAAGAAGAGTAAGAAAGAACAATCAGGAAGAGCAGTGTCACAGAAGTCTAGGGAGTGAGTATATGGGAGGACACAGTAGTCAGCAGAATAAGAATCTACAGTGAGGTCTAAAAGGGTGAGGAATGAAAAAAAGGCTATTGAGTTTAGCATTTAACAGAAATTGTTAGTAACTTCAGATAAAACAGTTTCCATAAAATGATGGGTTAGGAATGGTAATGATGATAGCTAGCATCTATAGAGCACTTGAAGGTTTATACAGAGTTTTACAAATATCTCATTGGTCCTCATAATAGCCCTGGAAGGTAAGTTCTATTATTAGCCCATTTTACAGATGAGGAAGAGCAGCTATGTGACACAGTGGATATAGCACCAGACCTGAAGTCAGGAAGACTCATCTTCCTGAGTTCAAATCTGGCCTCAGACACTTACTAGCTCTGACCCAGAGCAAGTCCTGTATGCCTCAGTTCCTCATCTATAAAATGAGCTGGAGAAGGAAATAGCTAACCACTGTAATATCTCTGCCAAGAAAACCCCAAATGGGATCGCAAAGAGTCATGAAGGGGTCAGACAGAACTGAAATGACTAAACCAAATCAGATGGGGAACTTAGAGGTCAGGTGACTTGCTCAAGGTCATACACTTAGTTAAGTATCTGAGACCAGATTTGAATTCAAGTCTTCCTGACTCCAGATCCAGCGCTTTGTGCACTGTTCCAACTAGGAATCCAAATTGCAAGGGATTTAGAAATAAGTGGGTGATTAGAAAATGGAGGCAGCAAGTACAGAAGATAGGGGAAGAGATAATGGGGACTTTAACAGTGACTGCAGCATAAAATAGTAGAATGGTCACTGGTTTTGGAATCCCAGGGCTTAGATTCAAATCCTAATTCTGCTAGTTTTTACCTGTGTGACCTTGGAGAATTCACTTAACCATTCTGAGCCTCAGTTTCCTCACCTATAAAATAAGGAGGTTGAGCGGGGTAATCTCTTAAGGCCCCTTCTAGGTCTAGATACTATAATCACTATGAAAACCAACCCTTCAAAAAAAAAAAAAACCTTCTATCCTGGAGCTAGTGAGATACAATCCATTTTTGCTCCTACATTAAATGTCCCCAAATTGCTATGCTTTTTGAAGTTTTTGTATCTAATTTGTAAAATAGTTTTTCTGTGTTCTTTATTTTCAGTCGTCCTTCCTCGATGCAGTGCATCTGTCTTTAGCAACAGCTGCCCCTCCCAGCCTCCTTAATATGGGTTTCTCATCTGCCTTAGCCTAGGAAATCTAATGAGCAAACATGTTCAATTGATGCCTATGAGTAAATCTGTTCTGAGTGAGGGCCTGAGAAACTAGCCTGTGACTTAAATACACTTTAGTGTTTTCATCTTCTTAACATCTTTTTGGTTGTTCGGAGGTCTTTTTTGTCTTGTGTACTTGTTTTCTGCTGTTGATTTTTCTGCATAAGGAACATCTGAATAACTAAGGTATTGTTGTAGTCTATATTTTTTTAAAGTCATTTCTGTAAAATTAGAATCTTTATCAGTGTTTTTGCAATTATTTTGAAAATTGAAACTATTTTTTTGAATCTGTTCTATATATTAACATACAAATTATTATTCTACATAACCATCATGGCAAGAAGCAAGATTAAATATTCAAAAGGGAACTTGAATTAAAGATAAACTCTAAAAGGTAATCCCCA